CAACAGGAGTGAGACTCTGTCTCAAAAATGTAATAAATATATAAGAAAATAAGACAAATAAATAAAATAAAAACTTAAAGTGTTAAGGAAACGATAATTCCTTGAGACAGTCTTGCTCTGTCACCCTGGCATAAAGACTGCCGAATGGCATGCATCATAGCTACGACTGCAACGGCTAAACTCGCTGGCTCAAGCAGATCCTCTGGCCTAAACCTCCCAAGGTAGCTGTGGATTTACAGGCAATGATGCTCCACCACGCCAGCCCAACGTATTCTCTATTTTTGCAGAAGATAAGGGTCTCTTCTCTTACTCAGGGCTGGTCTTGAAACGCGCTGACCTCAAGTGATCTTTCACCTTGGCCTCCCAGAGCTGCTAGTGATTCTAGGGTGCTGAGCTACCACACCTGGCCAAGATACTTCACTTAATATGATAAAGTATACAGCCTGTCGTGCAATCAGATGAGTCTCCTTCCTTAATGGGGAAAGGATAAAATACACCACAGAGCAAAAAACAGGGGCTTTTAGGAGCGAGAAAATAATTTATGTTTGCAATAGATATGAATTTCATTGCGTGCACAGATAGGTGTCCCTGTGTATCCTTGGTAATCCCAGGTCAGAAATTAGGGCTAGGGAATGCTGAGAAGTGATTTTATGGCGGCCCCCTGTTTACCCATGGCCACAGCTATATCTCTCCTAAGCACATGGGGTCCTGCTCTTAGGGAGCTTCTCTCCCCATCCTGTGGATCCCATGAGGGCCCATGCGTGGGTCACTCTTGGGTTCGAAGAAGGATTTATGCAGTAGGTTTTGGTGGCTCCGTTCCCAGGCTAGAGTGCTGTGGCATCAGCCTAGCTCACAGCAACCTCAAACTCCTGGGCTCAAGTGATCCTCCTGCCTCAGCCTCCCGAGTAGCTGGGAGCATGTGCCACCATGCTCAGCTAATATATATATATGTATTTGTTGTTGTTGTCCAGCTCATTTCTTTCTATTTTTAGTAGAGATGGGGTCTGGCTCTTGCTCAGGCTTGTTTCGAACTCCTGACCTTGAGCAATCCTCCTGCCTCAGCCTCCCAGAGTGCTAGAATTACAGGCATGAGCCACCCGCCCTGCCTATTTATCTTATTTTTAAAATTGTTTTTGGAAACCAGGTCTCACTATTGCCCGGGCTGTAGTGCAATGCAATAATTATAGCTCACTATAACCATGAACTCTTGGGCTCAAGCAATCCTGCCGTGTCAGCCTCAGGAGTAGCTAGCTACTATAGGCATGGGATACCACACTCAGCTCATTTTTAAACTTTTTTGTAGAGGCTGGTCTCAAACTCCTGGCCTCAAGCTATCCTCCACCTTGGCCTTCCAAAGTGCTAGGATTACAAATGTGAGCCACTGCACCCAGCATTTTAAGTTTTTAATCTGACCTGGACACCAAATACTGCCAAGTATTCCCTTAGCACCCAATGAGAGAATCTTAATCTTCTTAACAGCCTTCTGGTTGCTGTTAAACAGCAACCACTCACCCCACATGGTCACAGTGGCCTAATCATTTAATTTACTGTTTGTTTACAGCTGATTTAAGCTTTCCAAATCTACTTTCTAAGAAATATTGATGCACACGCTGTATGTCATACAATCTTAGGTGAACATGTATTTTATACTTAACATCTTGGAAAACAAGATGCATTTTACAATCTATAGTGGCCTTTGATTAAAATTGGCAGGATTCTTTCTCTCGTACTGGAACACGGTGATGCTTCTTACAATCTAGTGATCTTAGAGTCCATGAGATATAGCATTCTCTACTGAGCTTTCGTAACAGGCTTTGGGTAGGTTTAAATAGGTGCCATGTAATGAGGAAGTTGCCCACCACCTTTTCCTGTGTTCGATAACTGCTTATATGATAGCACATTATTTGTTCCTGGAAAACGAAAAGAATGCCAATAAAAACACTTGACC